TTTGGATTGATCTGATGGCTATAAAGTGAACCCCTTATAACTTACCACTCATAACTTTCCACTCATTATAGTCTGACCTCCTAAAAGCTAGCCTTCAAAATTTCCCTTAAACTGGGCTAAAAATGGGCCAAGACTGGCCCAAAAAGTTCCCAAAAAACTGGGCTAAAAGCCCAAATACTCTCATAACGGTTGGCTAATTTGATGGCTACATGAGGAGTCACCTCACTGTAGAATTTCGCCTCAAAACAAATGAAACTACACATAAGTAGTGTGACAGTCCATGAAGTAGTGTGACTTTACAGTCCGAAAGTTGGTGCATCTCTCCTGTTGTTCTTTCTCCACAGGGAGGCAGCTGAAACTGGAAGCCTCGGGGATTATTGGATTTGAACCTTTGTGAAAAATCTTCGTGCAGCGGGAATGCTAGCTAAAACTTCTCAGGCACATTCACCCGGTAAACGGATCCTGAGAACTCTGTTTCTCATTCCTTTCTTGTCCCAAACTCAATTTTTCAGCAGCAAAACGGGGCTTCACTTGGTTCTGTTTAATACCAATTTCAATTTCTTTGCAGTTGAAAAAAAATCTGGTTAAAAATATTCAATTTCTCTCAGTCATTACCTGATCAATGCTCCACTTGTGAGGGTGAATAACTTTTGGTTTTGATTTCTAGGGCTTCTTCTGGTGGCGTTATACTTTCCATCCTTTTGATAATGGAATGCATTGTGTTGTGTATATCATATTAGTATTGATTTATTAAAGTTTTACTTTTTTGTCAAATTTTTATTTGTCTGCTCTTGCTATTACTTATGTTTTTCATTGCACAGATGTGCTAACCTTGAAGATGAGTAGCTCTCACAAGAACCCAAATGACTGTTTGGCAACAGTCAGTGGTGGAGCAGATACACCATTCGATTTTTTATGCAATTTTTATGGTATGTGTTAGAACTTATTGATTCAACTTGTGCTAAGTTAGATGAATATAGTAATTTTTAAAACTTTTGGTGATTATTGTTGATTCTGTATAGAATGTGGTTCTCTTTGTAAACCAATGGAATGATTTTGAGAGGCGTTATATTAATCCATTGTTTGCATAAAAGAGTGGAATAATATAACCCCAGTTTTCTCTAGCCAAAGCAATGTTGAACCTTGTATGCTTATTCTGCCATGACCAACCACTTGAAACTATGAGAATCAGGTGAAAATGGAAAAGCTGAGCATAAATGTGGTCATCTTAGATTTCTTCTCCCAGGATTTGTTTATGTACCGTTCATAATGATGTACTGGAAAAAATGACAATTTCTTCTATTTCTGTAACATACTTTGTGAAAGTCTGTTTATATGATATAATCAGAAGGAGAAAAGTTAGTATCTTTGGATTTGTTTTGTGTTTTGCAGACAGAGTCATAGCTGGTGGAGCTGCTGGTGTTTTTGTAGAAGCAGCTTTATACCCAATTGACACAATAAAAACTCGACTACAGGCATGTGAAGTATACTGAACATCTTTCTCAATGTATTACATTAGAAATGCCTCTCATGGAAAAGGGAATATTCATTCATATGATATGTGTAGGTTGCTTGTCATTTCAAGTAGAAGAATCATCTCCTTCATTTATATATTAATAGGCAGTCAATACTAGATGCTACTATGCTGATTTTTATTGGCTAAATTATCTGACACAGGAGTGATCAGTGACTACAAATTCTTCTTTAGCCAAGTTCAGTGATCTTCACGAGTATCGCTTCTTATGTGCTCTTAATTTATTGGTTCAACATATTCTCAGGCGACATGATACACCTTGCACAACATCTATACTGTTCCATATGGTTTCCACAAATTTCCATTTGTAGAATGAAGAGAAATTTTCTGTAATTACGTAGTTCATTATCAAAAGTGAACTAGTGTGGCTTTTTTCATTAATGTGACCACCTGTACATTTGTGGTTATAGAATACTTGGGCTTCATTATTGCTTAACACTTGACTATTCTCTAAACTGTTGTCGTTTTCTTTCCATTTGTCCACTTTTAGGTTGCCCATGCTGGAGGGAAAATTATGTTAAAGGGTCTATATTCGGGATTGGCTGGAAACCTTGCTGGTGTCTTACCGTAAGTAAACATTTTTAAAAACAAAGCCATTGGCAGGAACTACACTTGGTTTCAAATAGTCATTTCGTCAACTTCCTCATACACATGTAGATTTTATATTTTAGTTGTTATCCTGTTCTATGCCTTTGTGATCATGAAGGCCAAACCTAACTTTTGGGCCTAGCTATCTGAAACCTTAAACAAGATAATATAAGAAAGTTTTACATACAGTAGTATATTGTATCCAAGTTCCTAATATGAGGATTCATTTGAATTTGGAAACCAGCTGCGTTCGTTTTCTTTTAATACATGAGTTATCTGACTTTAGAACCAATTGGAAAAAGTTTGAAAAAACCATTATTTCTTAACGTTGGTGTACTGTTGTGATATTGTCTCCTTTGCAGGATGCATTCTTGTTTTCTCTTTTTTCCTCTTTAAGTAATTTTCCTTCATGAACTGTGTTCTCCCTGCAAGTTGGTCAATGGGAGTTTTTGTCTAGTGTGCAAGTTGGGTTTCTCTGTACTATATATTGCTGTTCGCAACTGGCTTCTGTCAAATTTTTCTCAATCCCAAGGATTTTGTGCATTTCTTTTCATGATCCACGGTAATCACTCTTGTAGTTAAATCCAAATGTAAGAAATTTTCAGCGGAAACAAGCACTACATTATAGGAAAATACAGATTTTATCTTGTTCCACTGGAACAAAATACAGATTTATCTTGGTACAGTTCTATCATAGGTTTCAGAGTTATTTTCATTCCAGTTTTGTTGAATTTCTATTTTTTTTAAATTGGGTGTCTTGCTGATCTTTACAGGGCTTCTGCCATATTTGTTGGTGTATATGAACCTACAAAGCAGAAACTGCTGAAGGCATTGCCAGAAAACCTTAGTGCTTTAGCTCATTTGGTATGCTACCTAATTTTACATGTATGTTGACTGACAATCCTTTAATGCTTGGGAAATACTTCTTCAGTAATGTGGCAGTTACAAGCTGCATAGATATGCAAACGCATTCATCCTTGTCCTGCTGCTACTTTTTTTCTTTTATTAATCTTTTTCGATCCAATTCCTCAATTGCATGCTCTGTCATTGTGGCATAATTTGAATACCTTCACATAGGATGTAGGACTTAAGGCTGTCTCAGGAGGATAAATTGAAAAGCTACAAAATGAGACTTGTTTTCATCACAAACAAAAGTTAATTGAATTCTGTCATTGTGGCATAGATTACTTTCCTGAGGTTAAAAAGATTTAGCAGCCTATGTAAAGAGACCTGATCACCACCTTTATGAATTAGCCAAAAGGTGTTACTGGATGTTCTCGGAACTGCCTGATGCTTTCGTTGTAAATTTTTTTCCCTCACTTGACATCACTCTCATTTTAATAATAATGATAGGGAGAAGTTTAATCTTCAATGTACTGGATGAGGCCTTGTTATTTTTATAGGTATTAAGACTTCAATCAGACTGCAGGTGCTATTGCAGGTGCTGCTTCTTCTGTTGTACGAGTTCCAACAGAGGTAGTTAAGTTCTTTACTTTTATTTATTTCCATCAATTAGTTATTGTTTCCTTGCACATGTTATCACTTTAACTCTTCCCAGGTTGTCAAGCAACGCATGCAAACTGCACAATTTTCTTCAGCCCCAGATGCTGTGCGTCTTATTCTTGCTAAGGAGGGGTTCAAAGGTCTTTATGCGGTACATCACACTTACTGTTCTCCATTCTAAATTTCTCTGAGCCAAGTTTTCAGTCTGAACTTTCACTTTGTTAGTTTAACCTAGCAAATATCTCCTCAAAGAAACAACAGATCACTTATTTTTCTGAAACAAACGTATTTGCTCATTATTCCTTCATGAGCTATTTAGATGTCTTGTTCGATTAGCTTGTGAAATGATTTTGGTGCTTATGCTTTGACCTCCTTTTGAAATTGCAGGGGTATGGATCGTTTCTATTGCGAGATTTACCATTTGATGCCGTTCAGTTTTGCATCTACGAGCAGCTTCGAATAGGATTTAAACTAGCGGTACGAGAGGAGTATTTATATCATTGTTAATGGAGATATTCAAGGAATTCACGAACCCAATACAAATATGCTATTATTCACAAGTAAAGCCAAATTTTCCATATAAAATAGCAAAGTTCAAGTATGTTAATTCACCACTAGAAACCATTGGAATGCTGCCTATGAAACTTTCTACAGCTTCATTTCCCCCTTCAAATATTGTCTTGATCTGCATTGCAAAACATCGATATATACATATATACATGTGTGCATGTGAGTGTGTGTGTGTGTGTGAAAATATGATTTAAGTCCAATTGCATCTTTTGTCCTCGTAGTTTGGACTCAATTACATTTTGGTCCCTGTAGTTTCAATTGCAATTTTACTTTGTTCTTCTGCAATTCAATATACATGAATCTGAGCGTTCATGAGTGTGTCCGTGCGTGTGCATTGCAAAAATGATTAAATTATGGCTTCCTTGTAGGCACGAAGAGATCTGAATGATCCTGAGGTTGCTCTGATTGGTGCTTTTGCTGGTAACTTAACATGTCATACATCTGTTGAGCTTAGATTGAGTTCTTTGGTTTTCACTCCGCTGTCTGTATTCTTCTCCCTGTAATTCTGAGGAATTTCTACTTGTGTATGTATGGATGAATAATGAATTATGTGTACATTGATTTGTGCACATTTCTATGAAGTAGTCCTGACTCAAAATTTATGCGTATTCTCATCTAGGAAGTCATTTTTCACTGCTAGACTGGCTACAAAATCAATATAGCTACATGTAGTCTCGGCATTCAACTTAGATGAAGACTATCTGACAAAAATGCCTACCCTGAATGTCATTGTAATGATAGGTTCCTCCAAAATTCTGACATGTCTTTTAACTTTTGAAAAAAATAAGAAAGAAATATTATCTTCTTAGTTTAGATGATATTTTGCATTCCAACTTCTACTCTGTAATGAGTGCAACATACCAGTTCGCTCAGCATTTAACAGTGCTAAAACAGAATACAATATTGCAAAAACTTTGTTGCAACTATAGTCTGCAGTTCAATTCTCAAACTGACTGAGAACTGGCTTCAAATTTTTCCTGGTTGTTACTTTCCAGATCAAAAATTTGGCATATGAACCTCAGTTGATCTGACTGAATACCATACAAGCCACTACCATAAGTTCTCTCTAGAAATGAACCTGTTCATGTGTGCTTCGTAGCCCAAGAATTCTCATGCTTACTAGTACTGAATAACTTGCATGATGTGCTAGAATAATCATGCATACATAATGCACCGTTTAATGAAAAGCTCTTCGGTCTACCCTCCCTAAATTGCAGGCGCAGTAACTGGAGCTATAACTACTCCTCTTGACGTGATTAAGACGAGATTAATGGTTCAGGTTGTGATAGAAAGTCATTTTCTTTTCATCTTTTGAAGGAATCCTGTTAAAAAAATTATTTTCACCATTCTCTTTCCTTCGAAACTTTTGCAGGGATCAGAAAACCAGTACCGAGGAATTTATGATTGTGTTAGGACCGTAATGAGAGAAGAAGGAAGTCCTGCTCTTTGGAAGGTTTGACCATTCCTTGTTACCGTTCTACTTAATAATTGCCATGTCAAACTGGAATACTGCTTCACTTCTCTTCTTTCTTATTTTTCTCCTCTACTTTAATGAGGCTGCTAAAATGTATGCTAAGAATTTTGAGTATTCAAGACTTTTGACCAATGTCTCTCGTTTCAGTTCAGGATCCTCATAGATTTATTCATGTCTTGACTTCTAGGGTTATGTTTGAATTTACTCTCCCTTTCCTCTTCCCATTATGATTTCAGTATTTATTGGAAACATTTTGTTGGTTTATGAGGTCATAGTTAGAAGACTAAATGTTTCAGACTTTATTGATTTTTTATATGAACCTTGTTTGAAGACTTAACAAATAGACAGTTCGAATTTTTTAACAGAATTGTTGGTTGGTCCCACATGTGATCCCTTTTTCTAAAAATGAAAAGGAATCAAGGTACTCTGTATATAGGATTAAATACATGCACACACAGACACGCAGACAGACATGCCTTCATTTGCCCTGTGGGTTTCTACAAGCCGATGGGTAGGTGCTGTTTGATGTAGTGTGTGTTTGTTGACCTGTTTCAGTTTCAGGTTTTTTAAAGTGGCTCAACCCGTTTTAACATAAGTGTCGTTTGATCTATTTAAAACTGATCCAATGCCTAAAACCAGTATGTTCACAAGTTTGTAAAAACTTTAAGCTTAACAAAGTCAAGACATAACCCTAGAATACCCTAGTTTCTTAAGCAAAGCCATAAAAGTCAAGACATAATGAATTTATGCATGATGTGTTCTCATGTGAAGGCCATTGTATGCACACACACATACGCTCACACAATCCGCTGCACCTGCGGAACGGATGGGCTTCCATTCAAACAGCCACGGACAAAGCTCGAGAGTTCAAACCTAAACCCTAAGCCTTAAACGAGTTGTACTCCCTAATGTCAACAATCTGTTGGCGAAATGGGTAAAAATTTAGGTTGCCATTTAAATGGCAGCACATCCTGGATGCAGGAAGCTTTACGTGTATATTAGACAGCTCTGATTATGGAACTGCATTGGTAGAATCTGAAATCAATTGTTTGATGCCATTTTTAGTGCACTGTGTTCATGCTATGGATATTTTTTTATATTGACTTGAGGAAGCAAACATATTATTACTCATGTGAAAATTTGGATAGCCAGAATTAGCTTTGATATAGTAGGGAAAAACTTGAGCTTAACAAAGTCAAGTTCTGGCTGAACACATCAATTCATTTGATATTCACCTTGATCTGCTAAAACTCAGACTCAAAACGGTATCAGCCAAAACAGCTACACATATGGTATCTGCTCTTGCAAAATATAACGTAGACTATGCATAAAGAAGATTTTATCCTATGCATAGTTTGCACCACGGTGAGGTTCTCTTCTGCCATTTGCTGCAGGGTATTGGGCCACGAGTCTTGTGGATAGGTATTGGAGGTTCCATTTTCTTTGGTGTTCTTGAAAGGACAAAGCAAATACTTGAGGAAAGGCGTAGGGATCTGGACTCGAACTCTTCGAAGCGGAACTGACTGTAGCAGATGCAGTACTGAGTCGTCGTATTCATCTGCAATCCTTAATTTAATAAGATTTTGATCTTCAGGTTACTACTATATATGTATGAATGCATAAATGTTGAACTAATTAGTTTAATTTAAAGCAAACTAAGGGTTTGGATTCACATTGTTTTTTCTATAGAGCTTGAGTTGATAAGCTGATGCTTTGTAACACGACTGATAATTAATTATCAAAACTACGTTGTAGTTTGATGCTCATCTTGCTTTGCTTAAGAAACAGATCTATTACAGTTGATGGTTAGAATTAATTATAGATATACTGGTCGTTGATGCCATGCCAATTTTGCCTAACGATGGAATAGTTTATTGATCATACTAATGGTTACACTCCAGAGGAGCATTGTGTTTGACCAATCTCAAACCCTAATTTCATTGGGTTCCCATTCTCACTTTTTCCGTTGAATAATTCTAGCTTCATTAGAGCATCTCCAATGCTTAGGGTGTAAATTGGAGACGTAAACGTAAAGCCACATTTACATCTTTACATTTCTTTTGCACCTCCGGAGGATATAAATGTGATTTTTGCTTCAATGGGGTGTATGTATATCCGATTTTCTTGTATCAATTAGCTTTTTAATGGGAGATTTTTGATTCAGCCCAAAATATGAGGGAAGTATTTATGAAGGACAAAATTCTAGTGTTTGGACAATAATGCCCTTATTGATTTTTTGATTGCCTAAGGAGTCTTTTCTCTATTTTTCAGATGGTGCCAAAATTTCTTGCTACTTGCTGGCCGTATGGAGACAAAAAAAATTAAATTTTCTTGCTTTGATAAACTTTGGACTGATGTTGCATCCGCTTTTATGTTGCTAGGATGATCTCTTCATGTGAAAATTAATTTGATGATGCTTCTTCTATCATGAGGCCTTCAGATGGAGTTATGGCTTCATTATGCTTCCTTCATGTTGTCTATGTTGTGTAGCTATTCTTCTCCTAAGCTATTCTAGTATGAGTTGTTGTTGTCTTCTGCTTTAATTTGTTATGCTATCTAGTTATAGATTTCATAAAAAACTTTTGCTCCTGTTTTGCTTATCCTAAATTCATATGTGTCATTTGGTCTCCTCGATGTAGTCTCTGAATAAATCTTGATAAAGTTGGATTGGTGAACGAGGTTCAGATGATCATCATTGAACAATTGTTGCTCAGCTATTGTTGCTCCTCTGTATTTTTGAATGTCTTGCATGGTAGAGATCTACGTATTTACAGATTCTGCCGAACTAAGCAGTTCATTATGAGAAATAATAATACTTTGTTGTGCTCTGTCTGGGTAGATACTATTCGTAAACTACTCTGGGGGTATTCTGGTCAAAATCTAATGTTACGTTCTTCCAAAGAGAGATATAAAAAATTATAACTTTTTTCAATTTTAAGGGAAATGAATCTAAATGAGGACTACTTTGAAATAGAAAGTTGACCTAAATAACCGTACTCTGCTAAAAATGCTAGAGTAATTGTGATAATTTTTTGGTTATGCTCTAAATGCAGTTCTCTATATTCCACCATGTTAATACTAGCTAAATAACTAGTATAATGAGAACAGCTTTTAGTAAAAATTTTATACTAGGATGTGATTATTTTTTAAATTAAAAAAGAAAAGCTTGAATGTATAACTGAAGAAATGTATTTGCTCATATTTAAATCTAATCTTATGACTCTTAATATCTCATGGTAAAAATCTATACCTTTCTTTAGCTAGGGTTTGATGAAAATATGTATTTTTAGTTCGTTGTTTAAGGGAAAATTCTCTATTATGCTCAAGTAAGTTGGGCTCATTAGCCTCTTTTTCTTGTAAAACCATGCTTAAATTTTGACATCTTCAATTAATAATTCTAAAATTTCTTACTATTGTATCATGCTCTTTCTTTTGCTCTTCATGTTTTTCCTCCAAAAAAAAAAAAAGTTGTTGTTTTGCTCTTTTATAATCATAATTATATGCTAAAAATTCTTGCCCAAAGGCTTTAATAAGTTTTTCATGTCCTCTTCTCATGCCTTCATTATTAGTTCTAATATTCCAAAAATTGTCTAAAAGAACTTTTTGTTTATCTACTAATGATGCTTGAGTATTATATTTTAAAGTATAATTTCTAACTTCTTATACTGGAATTCCATTATAATAATAAGCATTTACTACTGGTCTTGCTTGACTACTTATGCTTAATGGATGCTGCTAGAGGATGCTCTAAAATATTGCATACCTATTAATGAATAATACGGGATAAGATGTCTGCTAAAGTATTATCCATACCTTTAATATGCTCAAATATTGGTCTCAATCCATTTCTTGTAATAGAATCAAGAAAATGGACCCATCTTCGAGCTACTTGTTTATTAGTAGTAATTTTATTATAATGAGAAACAATATTATGAAAATTTGTTCTAATAGTAAATATCTCATTATGTAAGAATAATGAAAATACTTCAAGGGAGTTAATGACTTCCTAAAATTTCTAAGTCAATGGCTGGAAGTCTAGCATGTATATCACTAAATTTACCTGATGCATGTCTACAAACTTTTTCTTCAGATTTAAGTTCTTCTTTATGTTTCTTCTGATATAAAATTTCTGCCCATCCTATTGATGATACGTCTATCTCAACTATTTTATAATTATTATATAATGGTAATGCTAAAGGTTTAAGTTGAGTTATATCTTGTTTGATATTTTGAACTAATTTAATATCTTCACTGTTAAAATATTTTTGATCTGTTTTATTGATTTTACTATGCAATGTTGCAATCTTTCTTCCTAAATCAGGGATAAAACTTCTAGCATAATTTAATAATCCTAAAAATGCTTGTAATTGTTTTTTATCTTCTAATTTATCTGGAAATTCTAACACTTTTTTAGCTATGTGTTCTTGTAATTGTATAGTTCCTGACTTAATATACATACCTAAAAATTCTATGTCTTGTTTTTCAAGCTCTACTTTAGTCATACTTATAACCAGGGCTGGGCATTCAAATCAGTAACCCGGTCAGACCGCCCAAACCAAACCGAAATATATGGTTCGGTATACAGTTTGCAATATTCAAAACCACGGTTTAACCAAACCAAACCGATGGTATTAAAAAAATATTATATATAACATTATTATAAGAAGGCTTATTATCACAAAACGTCCCTAAGGTTTACGAAACTATCAGATTGCATCCTTAATGTTTTTTTTTGTCATTCGTGGTTCTCAAAGTTAGTATGTGTGATCACAAATGGTCCCTGCCATTAGGTTCCGTCAAACACTCCGTTAGTTTGCTGACGTGGCATATAAATATATCACAAAACATCCCTAAGGTTCATGCACCTATCACAAATGGTCCCTGCGAAATTTTTTAATTTTTTAATTTAAAATGCATCAAATTTTGGTTTTCTTTTTAAAAAATTTTGAATTTTAAATGCATGTGACACTATATTATTGTAGATGTGTGCTCCATATATATGCCACATCAACAAACTAATGGATTTTTTAAAAAATAATTTAAAATTCATAAAATTTAAAAATGAAAAAACTAAGGGTTTAGGGTTCATAAATGGTCCTTAAGATTAAAATCCTTCTATAAATGGTTTTTTCATTTATAAATTATTTAAAAAAGAAAACTAAAATTTTATGAATTTTAAATTAAAAAATTAAAAAATTAAAAAATTTCGTAGGGACCATTTGTGATAGGTGTGTGAACCTCATGGATGTTTTGTGATATATATATATATGCCACATCAGCAAACTAACGGAACCTAATGGCAGGGACCATTTGTGATCGCACATACTAACCTTGAGGACCATGAGTGACACAAAAAAATATTAAGGATGCAATCTGATAGTTTCGTAAACCTTAGGGACGTTTTGTGATAATAAGCCTTCTTATAATAATGTTATATATAATATTTTTTTAATACCATCGGTTTGGTTTCTTCTTCTCTCTCTTTTCTTTTTCTCCTCTTCTCTTCTTCTTCTTCTTCTCCATCTCTCCCTTTTTTTTTCTTCTCCTTTCCATCTCTCCCTCTCTCCATCACTTTTATTTCTTCTCTTTCTCTCTCTCTTTCTCTCTCTCTCTCTCTCTCTCTCTCTCTCAGAAAGCCAAAAAACCCAAACCGAACCAAACCAACCCACCAAGTCCAATTAACCGAAGTGCTCAGTTTTCATCAATTATGGTTTGGTTTCTGTTTCCAAAATAGCCAAACTGAGGCCTATGGTTCGGTGTTTGGATTGAACCCAAAATCGAACCAACCCAGACCAAACTCACCCCTACTTATGACTATACCATTGTCAGTAAGTTCTTACAAAATAATCTCTAAGTGCTTTCTATGTTCATTTTTACTTTTACTATGAACAAGTATATCATCTACATATACAAAAATTATCATACTTCTTAAAAATTTGATCCATCTTTCTTTGAAAGATGGTGCATTTTTTCTAATCCAAATGGCATTACAAGCCATTCAAAATGTACTTCTGGACAAGTGAATGTTGTCCATTGAATTGATTATTCTGCTAATCCAATTTGCCAAAATCCTAATTTACAATCAAATTTACTAAAATATTTACTTTCTTGAATTTTATTCATAAGTTCATCTTTATTTGTTAATTTATAACTATCTTCATAAGTATTATAATTTGATCTCCTATAATTATACACTATTCTGGCTTAACCTCTTTTAAGCTTTGAGTATTTTCTAACTATAAAGGCTGATGATCTATGCCTAAATTTTGAAGGTCTAATTACTTTTAAGTATAATAGTTCTTTTATTTGTTGTTCAAATTTTTGCTTATCTAACAAGTTACATGGCATATCTGCTATTTTATTTGTTAAGTCTGGATTAATAATGTCTAATTTTGCTAATATCTTATTCTTATTCCAATGTAATTGGGGATCTTCTCCTATAATTCTAGTTTGTTAAGCTAATTGTAATAATTCTTCTAAGGTCTTTGGTCTATCTATTTGCATAATCTCTAAAGACTCTATTTCTCCTACAATTGGATACTCATGGTCAAATATTATATCATCATATTCTAAATTATTTTGTTCATCTATCTTTTGTTCATTTATTTCTTCTATATTATAGTGTTTAAAATTTTGTTCTTCTATGTTAATACTATTGTAAGACTCTAATATATTACTTTGATTAGTTGTGGTTATGTTTTTCTCAAAAAATGTAATATCTAGAGGTGTATATAAAAATCCTCATTGTAAACTTTTTAAGAAATTTAATCCTAAGATAAAGGGATGTGATCCTACTGGGGATATAAAGGTTAAGGGTAAATTAAATTGTTGTCTTTCTATCCTAATTGGTATATTATTAATACAATGTGTTAAATATATAGGTCTTGTATCAAACAATATTATTCTTATTGGTCTAGCTAAGTTTTGCCAAAATTGTTCTCGCACTAACTCTTCTTTTATAACATTTTTTGTGCTTTCTGTATCTATCATAGCTGTTGTTTGAATTTTATTTTCTTTTGACAATTCTAACTCACAATTAATTCTCATTAATGAACTAGACTTTGTTTCTCTATATTGGGGCTATTATTCTTTTGATTATTGTTATCTATTATTTCAGTTGTATTTATTTCTATTGGTCTATTATTATAACAAGGTTTACAATAAACTATTGTCTTAGTGTAATAATTTTCTACCACTATTTTCTTACATTGATTACATTTTTTAGGCCATCCTCAAATTAACATATTTAAATACTTCATGCTTTTTTGGTTCTTCAAACATACACATATATTCATCTAATTCACTATTGGAATTACTAGACTTATCTGATTCTGATTCTGAGTCTAAAGCATTAAAACTACAAATACTTTCATTATCACTTAAATTATCGTCAAGACTATAAATTGATTCTAAGTCTTCATCATCTTCTAATTGAAATTGCTCAATTAATTGTATTTTTTTCTCTAGGTTGCTTTCCTAATTTGGGACACTTAGGTCTAATATGTCCTACTTCACCACAAAGATAACGTTTACATGTACTTTTATTGGGTACTTTATATTTAATCCATGGTTTATTTGTTCGTTTTCTAAATTGTTTTCTTCTTCTAAAAGTTTTTGAAGGGTGAATTCTAAAATTTTTATGTTGTTGTTTATAAGGTCTATATTTTCTATAACTCTTTTTATATAGTTTTTTCTGCTTATATTTTCTATGGCATCCATATTGTTTAGGTAAATCTATATTTTTATAGCTCAATGTAAAATTGTTTTCTAATTTGTCTTTTTGCTTTTATTTGACTATATTTTGATCGTAATATATCACATACATGTTGTATTCTTGCTCTTATGGATACATCTAGTTTCATAGGGTGTTTTTGCCATTCATTCCAAATTCTTTCTCCTATTGGTCCTTTAATTTTTTTTTCATATAAGTATCTAATAAATTAAGATCATCAATTCTGCCAGTTCTACCTAAATACTTGAAAAAGTGTGAAGTATATTCACTAATATATTGTAAATCACAAATAAATTTGTAATTGTTCTAAATTTCTTATGGCTCTATTACTTTGTTCTTGTTCATTTCTACCATAATCTATTATGATCTAAAAATTCATATTTAATTAATTTAACAAAAGCATCTATATTAAACATTTCTTTTGCTGCTTGATGTTCTTTTGGATTTTTAGTTTTCCATGCTTCGAAGTAATCAAAAATCATTCCATCTAAACTATGTTCAAAGTAATCTAACATATCTTTATTATTACTAAAATCTAATATTAATGCATACATCCTTTCCCCATTTTTCTATAGTTTTTTTTCTCAATCTTGTGGGTCTACATTTTCTAAGTTTAATAAATTTCCTACTAAACTAATTTGTTCAATTCCTTTATAAGGGATTCTATTTTTTCTTAGTCCAATTGTTTCTTGTTGAAAAGCATTCCTACCGGTTTCTTCATTATTTTCTCTATATGGTTCATTAGTTTGCCTAAGATTCTGCTGGTTTGTTCTACTTTCCATTAACTATAAATGGTCAGTTGAACTATATTGGTTTTCTGCCGGCATGCATTCTACTTCAATTAACATATTTTGATTTTTTTTGCTCTTAAAATGTGTTCTAATCCTATATTTAAAATTAAGTCTTTCATTTCTTTATTTGACAATCTATGTAATCCTAAATCATAAGTATTATATTTTTCTATATATTTTTCTTCAGTTAAATTATCTATGTCATCTATGAGTTTATCAACTATATTATCAAAATTATGCTTAATCATATTTATTTCTAAGTTATCAAATGACATGTACAGTATTTCTTCTACTTCACTTTCTAAGTCTTCTATATCATTTATTTGTTTATAATTAGTAAATCTTACTATTGCTTCACCTATACGATTTTAAAAAATTTGTGCTTTATTAGGTTGTCTATTTTTTGCTACTTGTAAATTGGGTAAAATCCATTCTGTTCCTTCTAAAAAGCTTTATCTATTGGTTTTGCCTCTATCATATTAACATGTTTACTACTAAAAGTTTGTACTAGATTTTGAAATTCTATGTTAAATTTATAATTATAGTTGTCTGAAACTTTTTATACATACATAAGACTAATACTTACATTTTTGTTTCACCTTTCATTTTGTAATTTTTCGTTCTTATGCTAATTTTAATATGTTTACTAAATTCTCTAATATTCATGACATAATTATATATATTCTATGACTGCTAGATTTGTGCTAAGATTTTCTGTTGTAGCTATAGCGGCTTGCTGATGGTTATCCCATCTATTATCATATATATATACTAATGCTTTAGTTCCTATTTGTGCTCTTGTGAGTCCAGTTATTCCTATTGTTCCTATATGAATTTATTTATAGTGTGACTTTTTAAGATGCTCTATTGCTGAGTAAATTAAGAGTTACTTCTTTATTTATATAGCTTACTTCATTGACTAATGGTACCTACAATACTATGTTTATTTTCAAATCTTCCTAATTGATATAAATTATATTTATATCAATTAGGAAAATATTGATGTCGATAATTTCGGTCACACTTCAGCAATATTTTGTCAAAATATCCCTATAATATCGAAAATATCGATGTAATGGAAAAAAGAAAAAAAAAAACACAAAGCACACACGCAAAAGGGATTCGAATCCCTGCCATTTCACTCCTCTAATGCCTCAACCACCATGTTACTTATGTTTTTGTGATAATATGATAAAATATGTATATTTATATTGTTTTGTTTTAAACTTTTTTTGACCTTTCCTTTTCACATGAGAATGTGTCTTTGACCTATTCTTTTCAAGTTTCAACTTTTGAACTACTCATCACGTTTCAACTATCGAGCTACTCATCACATTTCAACTTTCATCACTTACTCTACCATTCAACCACTCACCTAACTAATTAGTTGTAGTCCTATTTCTATATAGACAAATAAAATCAAATGGTCTCATGCCGTCCCCTATTTCTTAACATCTCTCCAAAACAAAACATAATGCTCATGTCATTCTCAACATCTATAACCTCAATTTCCCCACAAGTAAAAAAAAAAACTGAACTATAGCATCGTTTCAATTTGATCAATTTTGTTCCTGTAGTTTTCAATTTAAGCAATTCAAGGACAATCTTCAATTTTTGTCAAATTTTTTAAACTTCCGTTACTTGTGAAAGGGCAATTACGTCAAATTATTAAAACATTAATTCCTTTTAAAAATAAACAATGCAAAATAAAATTTAATAATAAAAAAATATCTTCTTCTCCCTCTCTCCCGTCTGCTCCCCCTCCCCTAACTTCACCATCAGCCTACCCCCCCCCCCCCCCCACCCCTCCAACCCCCCCAAACAAGCCACTGCCCAACACCACCCACCCAACATCCAACCCTTGCCACCCTCCCACCACAAAACTTCTCAATAAACTCCACCTCTTTCTCTTTCTCTCTCTCTCTCTCTTCTCCCAAACCTAGCCCCGACACTCAGGCAGTCACCCACTCCCGACGACCTCCGGATCCCCCTCCCTCGCCCTCTGTCCTAAACCCACCCTCAGCTTCATCAAAATGGTCATCAATCGCAACGGCGAGAACGCCAACGTTCTGAAAATTCCCGGAATTTGCAGCCACTACATGAACGCCATTGAAGAAATACTGGAACACATCAGCAAGAACAGCAAGGATAAAAAGCAACAATAAGCACAATACTTAATGATGACATCTGAAGGTATAGCTCATGAATCCATTACAAATCTATATTTTAAATAATTGTCAATCATTGCAAACCAGACATATCTTTGTCGCACCTATATATAGCAATACTTTTTAAAATATACCTGAAAGTTTTTGGGCTTCAGACTTTGTGAGCTTGGCTGCAAACCTAGAGAAACCATGCCTATGACTGTACACCATTAATTCTGAGGCCAATTCCTTGCTGGGGTGGGGGAGGATGATAGGGGCGGTGGGGTTTGGGTTATCTGGGTATCTTATTTTACTTTTTAAATTTTTTTTTGTTATTTTATTCTTGGGTTTTGGTTACCTTTGTTTTTGGACCGAAATGCCTCTCAACAATTAACCGGCAGTTACCTTATTTTGACAAAAAACTGAAGATTGTCCTTAAATTGCTTTAATTGAAAACTATAGGGACAAAATTGATCAAATTAAAACGATAGAGACTAAAATGGTAAAAGTGTCAAACTACATTACCAAAAACCACTTTTTGCCTTTTTTTTTATAAAAAGAGTACTTCTTGGACTCTAAACATTTGATTATTTTAAAACACTTTATATAGACATTGAAATGATTTGAATATTTCAATCCTAGAAATACCAGATTCGGACGTAAGCGCATGGTCAGAGGTTTGAGTATACTTGTCAGCAGCAACATGAGAATATTTAGTTCTATCTTATAACCTAATGTATTATATTAATATTTTTATTTTCGTGTTTGACTTAACAAGTTAATACGATGAATATTCCTGATTACTTTCTTGTTAATTCTAACTTAGGCTTAAGAAGAGTACGTAGGTCCCTTGAAAAACAGGGGCATATGATTTTTCTTTGTTTGAAATTTATCAACACAGACTTTTCAAAGTCATCAACAAATTAAATGGAAAACAAACCAAAGATGATATCAAACTCTATTTGGTACGGTGGTACATACTTGTCCTTTTTTTATTAAAGAAAATATTATATTTCTTTCATTAAAATCATATGCCTCACACCTCACACCTCACACCGGGGATTACAAGTTTTTCTGGTTTAGCAGGTGTGAGGTTTTATCACAAAAAACTTCGGTGTCATTAATAGTGAAATCACTTATTATGTGGTGTATTTGATTTGGTCAAGTTTTTGATGTGAGATTTCAATATTCTTCAACAATTTAAACAACGGATAATGTTAAACCGTATTTTGTGGCTGGGAAATACATATAATGGTGCAAGAATTATGGTTGATGTTGTGCTATAATTTTTTCACTGTTAATTAATTTCTACAAAAATTCCTTGACGTCCATGGATCAATATAAATTCTCAATTTTGAATTTGTCAAGGCTGCCTGGTAACTTATTAAATTTGTCCTCTTTCTGTTGATATATAAGGCTCTATATGCATGTTAAATTAAGAGAGCTAGGAAAGGAAATAAGAAACTAATTAACATGGTTAAGGCACAAAGCTCCTCCTACTTTGTGATCTTGGCACTTTCTATAGCTGTTAATCTGTTATTGGTTTTCCAATTCTGTGTGGATGGAGAGTGGAGGCTCACTTGGAGTAAAAGAGCAGCAGAAGAAGCTGAGCGTGTGGCAGCCATTTCTTGCTCAGGCCATGGAAGTGCCTATTTGGATGGGTTGGTTCTTGATGGAAAGGAACCAGTTTGTGAGTGTAATTCTTGCTATGAAGGCCCAGATTGCTCTGAGTTTGTAACTGGATGTGCAGCAAATGCTGACAGGTTTCCCCCTATCCGTCGCTCTCATGCATGAAAGATTTTTATTATACATATATTCATGTTGCTTTTTTGGCAGTGGAGACCCGTATTTCTTGCAGCCATTTTGGATGCAACATGCAGCCCAAAGTGCAGTTTTAGTAGCAGGGTGGCATCGGATGGGATATAGCTACGCTGATGGCTCTTACATCTCAGCAGTGCTAGAGGAGCACATCCGTCAATTGCATTCCACTGTGGGAAATGCAGTAACTCAAGGAAGATACATTGTGTTTGGTGCTGGCTCAACCCAACTTCTCAATGCTGCAGTTCATGCATTGTCTTCTGATAATTCTTCCAACTCCTCCTCACCTGCAAGTGTTGTAGCTTCAATTCCTTATTACAGGGTTCGATCTCTTATTACTTCTGAATTTGGCTTTATAATTTCCTTGCAGCTTATAATCAGTTAGTGCCTACAAATAGTTCTGCTAATTGCTTAGAATCCCATATGCATGATTAACTTTTCTAACAAAATTTAATTTTGCTGTCCAAAATTTACAGCTTTACAAAACGCAAACGGAATTTTTTCGATCATTGGACTATAGGTTTGAAGGAGACACATCCTCATTGCTTAACATTTCAGAAGCTGGCAAAGTTATCGAGTTTGTAACCTCACCAAACAATCCTGATGGAAAGCTGAATAAGGCAGTTCTTCATGGCCCCAACTCCTCTGCAATTTATGATCGGGTCTATTACTGGCCACATTTTACAGCAATTCCGAATCCAGCTGATGATGATCTTATGGTATTTACACTTTCCAAACTCACTGGTCATGCTGGTACTAGATTCGGGTAAGTAACAACCACACATTATTGCACTTCTTTAGACTTTTCCAATTAGATATTTTTTTATGGTGGCCGGGTTTCTTTCATGTTGATGTCACGCATTACGTAACATATTCTATTAATACATGATGTAACCCCAACAAATCAGAGTAGTTAATTTGCGACCCAATCGAACTTAACCGTCCAATATTAATTTTATTATCTTTTTGACACTCTTGAAACTTTTGTATTTGTTATCGTCATATACTATATATAATCTTTCATCCCATACGTCGTTGATATCAACCATTTAATAATACAAGAAACTAAAATGCTTAGCCTACTTAAATTTTATATAACTCGTTCTGATATCATGTAAGAAGTTAAGGTTCCACCCGAAAACCAATTGGCAATTCAAGGAGTGGCCAAACGCCTTCTATATGCTAAAGTTTCTTAACTTTTCAATTGTGGGACATTTCACCTTCACATTCTTTCTTCGATATATTTTCGCTCTATCTTCAACAGAATAAAATTTTGGAAAAAATAAAAGAACATGTTATCAACTAGCAGTGGATATCACCCACTTCACTAACTACTATTGTTGCGGCCTTGTGCAGATGGGCAGTGATAAAGAACGAGTCTGTGTACCAAAAAATGACGGAGTATATGAGTTCAAGTAGCATGGGTGTTTCTCGAGATGCTCAGCTAAGAGCTTTGAAGCTTATCAATGTGGTGCTTGAAACTAGAGGCAAGCAAATCTTTGAATTTGGATACCACACCATGAGGAATCGCTGGGAAAGCTTGAGCAAAACCTTGTCTTTGTCAAACCGCTTTTCTCTGCAGAAACTTGGGCCACGATATTGCACTTATTTTCAGAAAATTAGAGGACCCTCACCAGGTAATGTCTCCACTAATTCAAGAATATTTTCTTTGTCAATAGATGAGTACAAAATGTCGATTATACCCCCTTTGAGTTCGATAAGATTAATAAAGATTTTTTTTAATAAAAACAAAAGTAGTTTAATCATTCAATTCACTATTCACATATATTTTCTTTGTCACCGTCTACCTTTTCTCTTTATGCAATTTCTTCCAAGTGGAACTTTGACCGCATGCTTAAGCAAAAAGAATGAAAAACAAAATATTACTTTCATCACTTGAATGATTATGCATGTGGAATATTATGTACATTAGTTCAATAATTCAATTCACTATTCACACACATTTTTTCTGTTCCACAAGCTATATTGTCTCTTTATGCAATTTCTTCCATGTGGAACTTTCATCGCATGCCTAAGCAAAAAGAGGAACTTTACTTTCATCATACATGCATTGCATTTGTGGGGAAGTAATTTTTACACTCTCATTTTGTACCCTTACATTCTTTAATTGTTCTTATGTTTTGGTTCTCATTTTGTTCACCCCATTACCATCAAAAAAACTTGAATGAAACGGGAATAACATTGTTTTGCTATCTTCGGCCAATCACACAATCGACCACGTGGAAAAATTATCACGCATAGCATACCGTAATTGACTGGTTATAGCAAAATAGTGATGTCCCCGTTTCATATAAGTGTTTCTCTATTATTACAGTACTAAAATAAGAGGGGAAAAGCAAATGGACAAAATAAGAGTGCACCCCTAACTTAATAGACTTAGTCGAGAGAGTACCATACATTGGTTATGGGAAATAAAAACCCCAAAATGCAGCCCAAATTTCTTCTCATAATAAATGTTATTATATTATATTTTCGAAGTGCGAACCTTCCGTGCCCTAGCTAATTTGTACCAATTTTAATCTCATGGCAGCATATGCGTGGGTGAAGTGTGAGAGGGAAGAGGATACAGATTGCTCTGAAGTCCTCCAAGCAGCCAATGTTATTGGGCGTAGCGGAAGCATATTTTCAGCTGAAGACCGCTATGTACGTCTCAGCCTCATAAGGAGCCAAGATGACTTTGATATATTGATTCAGCGACTAAACCAGTTGGTCTCAGAAGAAAGACAGCAGCAAAACCATGCAAACATTTTCTTGCAGCTCAAGAAGCCTCTGATGAGCACCTTAAGAAGGGGTCTTGTCTATTAATAATTATAAACTTTACATTCTATCAAATTAATAAGAAAATTCCACCATATATTTGCATGTGTACATATTATTAAATTGAATAATTTTCAACTTTATGTACACTCATCGTCTGTTTTTTCTTTTTAACATTCTATAAAATTGAATAAATTGTGGAGTTCATATGTTATTTGGTATTTTTAGTCTAAGTGGTTGTGGTTCTGAGATGCATAATGAATACTTCACCCTGTGGAAGGTGTTTGAGCAAATTTCCACTCGGGAAATATTTGCTAAAATATGAATACGGGTTTTCAATATGTTCAGATGATTTATTCTTCTCCATAAGGAGGTATATATAAGAGTTTACAAGAGTGCTATACAAGGAATTAGATACAGGAAAGAATTAGGAAAGTATCTCCTAATTATACAAAGATTTATCAATTATATAAAATAGGAAAGTAAATCTCTTAATTAATCAAGGAAATAAATCTCCTTGATTAATTAGGAGACTCACGTCAACACTCCTCCTCAAGTTGGTGCATATACGTCACCAATGCCCAACTTGGTAAGTGAGTCATGAAATACTCTTCCACAAACAGCTTTGGTTAAGATATCTGCCAATTGATCTTCTGATTTTACGAATGGTAGGCGAATGATCTTCTTCTCAATTTTTTCCTTGATAAAATGTCTATCCACCTCAACATGTTTAGTTCGATCATGTTGAACTGGATTATGGGCAATATCGATGGCTGACTTGTTATCACAATGTAACTCCATTGGTTTTTCTGGCTTGAAACCCAATTCTGTCAACAATCTTCTGATCCATAGTAATTCACAAACTCCGTGAGCCATTCCTCGATACTCT